TAGTATACAGCGTGTGCTTTCACCAACGGGTGAATCAGGGTAGATCGGTTGATTCACCAGAGAGTGACGTCATCTTACTTCTACGACTAATCGTAGTGAAGTTAGAGCCCAAAGTGTCAGAGGTCGTAGGAACGAATCAGAAGCCATTCCAATAACCAGTGGAACTGCGGAGCTATCTCCCAGACCCCTTCTCCGGGCTTCTGGACTGGTCATATCTAATTTTAGAAGCACTGGAAATCTTGCCTTGTTAGGCCTTTTGGGCTTCCTTTGTCAAAGACCAGGTTTCTAAGCTACATTCAAGATGGTGGACAATTTTAAGTATTTCTTAGCTGTAATATCTGCAGTTCTTATCTATATTCTTGACATTGACAGTGTTCAGGAATGTTTTATCAGAGAACAGAACATAGCTATATCTTATTAAACTACGTAGTACACGTTATCCCGATATGGTTGTATTCTACTAACGGGATAATATTCGTGACACGCTAGTATGGCTAAACATACTAAGGAAATTCACCAGGCTGTTATACAAAGAGCTTGATACCACACACATACTACTTGTACTTGCTAACGTTCTCTGAGAAGGCAGCACTCTGCAAAGGCCTAATTAAAGTCGCCATSCCGGCCCCAGAAAGCTTCATCAGTGGAAATTACAACAAACCAACAAAATCATGAATACATTAATGAACAGCYGCTCCAAAGGTAATACAAAGCTATTCTACTATAAGAAGTAAAGTTCTATTACAAATTTGTTAGTAGAAGTACTTCAATAACCTAGATAAGATTAAAAAGTAATCAGACATTGAAAGAGAAGAACAGCTACACCAAAAAWAATAACTTGGAGAATYCGGGTATCGATCCCGGTACCTCTCGCATGCTAAGCGAGCGCYCTACCCCCTTGTTCTTATAAGTTACTAATGTTAGTTACACTAGATCCAACTATTTTCGCATTACTCTACCGTCTACTTCAAGAGTTGAATATTGTATAAATGTTTTATCGATATCACTCGAGAGGATGGTCAAATATATAGATGCAACCATCTGTTGGTAAAAAAACATCAGATCGGCTGATAAAAACTACTTTGTACCTCAAAAACCAAATGCATTATTTGTTTTTATTATACGGTACACTAATTCCCCATGTA